ATTGTAATTTGTATATAAATAATTAATAATGTTACATCACATAGATATTGGTTTATATAATCTGTAAGAAAGAATGCTTTCATTTGTGAGTTACTAAATCTTACTACGAGAGTTTCAGAAATTATGGTTTTGAGTGAAGCACAAGTTTTAAATAAAGTTACCATTTTACCATACAATCTAAATAGGGCTTAAAGTAAACTTTGCTTACTTACTGGGATTCTGTAACATTTTCTTTGACAAATTTAAGAGTTTTCCACAATTGTTACTTCATGTAGTAGCAGACGAGCAAAATTACAATAAAAATTTCATTTTGATTCTACTAGTCAAACCACTATACTGTTGTACTTCCCTGTTGAACTAAGTTTAAAAAATCGAAAAAAAAAACATTTATACTAACATTAAAAAGAAGAAAACATCTATACAACATCATTCTGTTCTCAAATTACAACATGCTTATACCCTACTAAAACTTTTGTATGACAAATGTTACAATTACATTTTTTGCATGTTGAATTTTTGAATTTCAATATGACCAAGCTTTTTAAACAAGATTAATGAAGAAGACAGTGTCCTCAACTTTTCTCACTCCTTGATACAAGAGGAATTAACAATAAAGTCTTGAATAATGATCAAAGAACCCGGATAGACTTATTTTCCCCACGGCAAATTTGGGAGCTTAAAAAAACCCGTATTAATATTTTAAAGGGGTGACGACCCTTTTAAATTTAATAAGATAAAACTTTAAAAAACAAGTTCAAACATCCCGAATAAAGTTTAAAAAATGGGAAAGTTTTTTCGCAATAATTTAAACTTTTTAAAATATGCATTCGTTTTTATTGAAAATTTTTGGGTAAGAAAATTTATAGAATAAATAAAATTTCTAAATTTCAGTACATCCCTTTAAATTTTAAAGAAATGAAAATTTAAAATAATACTTTAAAAAAAAATGCTTTTTTTAACTTACTTATTTATAAAACTTTCCAATTTTAAGGGATTATATTTTGGGGATAAAACCCCTGAAAAAAAGAAAATTTTTCAGGGGTCTTGAAAATATTTTTTTATTTTTAAAATTTGAAATTTTTAAAAGGCTACATATTGATTCAATAAACATCTTGAATGTTTATAAATGAATAGACAAAATAGATTCAAATTCACAGATAACAAATATATCACAATATAATACAATTAAAATAAAATAAATATGTTTTAAAACATATCTTTAAAATAATCCAAATGCATTTTTGGTGTGTGCTTAAAACATGTATCACAGAAACGTGTAGACATAAAAAATACATATAATACATCAAATTAGCTGGATTTATATGCTCAGATTAAAAAGATTCTAATGTAATAACAATGTTTGTTTGGTTTTATGTCTGATTACAATTTTATACAAGTCATCAACATGTTGGCCATTTCCTTACGAGTTATTTTTAAATAAGACTTTGTTTTTTGGTTTTCTGCAAGTAAATGCCAAATTTTCGAAATCTAAACTAAACCCCCGCCCAACCCCACCCCCCCCCCCCCCCCCCAAAAATAAAAGCATGGAAGTAATTGAGTAAAGGCTGTGAAAAACTAATGCAAATTATACATTATCATTTAGAACATAATCATTTTGAACCAAATCATCATGGAAAAGTTTGTGATTGTGACAGACCCAGGAATGTACAACTAGAATGAGCCTGATTGCTGCCGATAATGAATGATAACAATGACTTGAATGGTAATGAACACATATTTATTACTGCTTTATTTCAATATATTGCAAAAAATGCCCAGATATTTTCTCTGTAAATCTTCAGACAGTCAAATATTGCAGATAACATCATATCGTATGATAAAAAATATAAGAGTAGGCCTAAATCTTTTAAAAATAAGAGTTTTGATATTGTTAGGTGATTTATGCAGTGCTTGGTTAAATTCTATATTGTTTTCTTCCTTTTATTATTATAATATTATTCATCTGTTTTCTAACTTTATAAATATTTATAATTCAAATTCCTTTATTATTCAAAATAATACTTAACTGTTTTGTAAACTCAAACATAGAGGTACCTCGTTAAAATAATAATATTTCAATCTGGTATCAAAGGGAGGGCCAACAGTTGAAATGCAATAAAACTATAATTATGATGACCCTTTTGCAATTACATTTTTAATATACATGTTAAGTGTATTGAACACTTGTTGCCAAAATAATAGCATGAATAGAAAAATGTGTTTGGTTTTCACATTTTCATATTGCATCTCCCTTTATACTCCCTATAACTTTTATCATTTGAGAATATTTTAATATTTTCTAGCCTCAGTGAGATATAAACTATATCACATCAATGAAAACAAATATCATCTATACATACAAGATTTGTGATAAATACAATAATATAGACATGTATGATTATGTAGATAAAAGTTAATATCATGGACGGACAACTACAACTAACATATCATAGGAATAATACATTGCCATGGTAACAAACATAAAATACAGTCAATATATCACTAAATCTATAAATTTCTCCTGGTATTGTGGTTTTGATTATAATTTAATGATTATGAAAATTAAGTCATGTAAAGCATCAAGGACGGAATGTTTGTGACTAATTTCTACAGTAAATAATTATATAAAACATATAACAAGTTATAATCATTTATATATTCGGTATGTTTTTCTAGTTACTGTTACTATTAAACTATATAATATCATACTTACTGACAATATCGAAATAAAATACTGGCAGTTATATTCTCTGAAAATATCATACTAATTTATCATCAGCTAACGTATAAATAATGCATAGAAAGATTTGATACAATGTTTTAAGACAGTTCAGTATGTATAGGCTATACTTTTACAATATTCCATAGAGATAAGTCTATACTGTATGAATTGTGAAAAACTACAATGGTAATGTACACAGTATTTGTCTTGCCTAAAATTAATTAAACACACTGAACTGTAATACTTGTGTATTATATGCACCAACTAAATAACTTATTAATCAAGACATTTCAATATCCATTAACTAAACTTAATGACCATATTACTGTACAGTTACTATACTATACTGTGCAGTTCATGTATGCACTAGCTATACTCTACTGTACAATTCAGTATGTACTAGCTATATGCTACTATACAGTTCAAAATGCATAAGCTTTACTATGATTTTGAAGACGGAAGCCCATAATGCATTGGTGGTAAACTAGCAACTGACAAATCTTCGCAGTAGGAATTGTCCGGGGAGTCTGCATGACGTGGACTGTGAAATCCAACTCTGGTACTGGCCTGGTGTGTGCGGACTCTAGGGCTGACCATACTGTCATCAAAGTAACCGCCTGAAGACAGAAGAGCTTGCGCCTGGGACTGTGACCTGGCTATTATAGCATTTATTGATTCCATTCTGTTTTTGTGTTTTCTGTGGAAAATAAAAGATGTTTTTTTAGAATTAATTATAATTTTAATTTATTCTATAATTTCTAGTGAATATATAAAAAAAAATCACTTAAACATGTGTTGATTCGGCTAGCTTGTAAAAAGAAGAAGAAGAAAAACAAAGCAACTGTTACACATATTTTAACTCAAAATGAATTTTTTATTAATTTGTAGCACGATTTCAGGGTTTCAGTCATCACAAATCTATAATGGCTGAGAATTATGATATAATAAACTTAAAGAAAATTTCAAATAAATATTCTGATTTTTACATAAATAAGTCATTTAAATAAAATATACTGATTTTTACATAACAAAGTTATTTTCATAAAATATACTGACTTTCACTAACAAATAATTAACGTAAGAAACAAAGTGATTTTTACATAACAAAGTAATTTTTGTAAAAATATACTTATCTTTAAAAACAAATTCATGAAAGAGAACATTATAAGTATCTTTTTTAAGATAAATATATTATTCACTTACTTCTTATAATAATACAAAAGTTAAAGTATCTGTTACGAAGTGAGTATTGTGAGTTTTAAGTTTTATATAATAACGATTAGGGTTTAAGTTACATTTAATAAATAACATGAACAATGTAACATGTGAATATTAATATGTCATTAAAAGTGAAAACAAGTGGCGTTCAGTATATAATGGATAATAAGAAATTCCTAAATGTTCCTGGCCACACAAAACTTAGTGCCATCAATTACTCTCAAAAGGTTATTAATTATAGAAATTAAATACATCAAAAACTGTCTAAATTACATATTACTAGCTTTACATATTAACATTACAATTAAATGTGCTATAAATGTGATTAAATAGGCATTTTTTTAATGTAAACTATCAACTTTTAATTAGAGTTTTTTTTTGTTAAATATCAACTTTTAATAAAACAGGACCATGCTTTAACTACTGTGTCATGTTTTAGTTTATTGCATCAGGTATATAATATAAGACAAATGTTAACAACAAGGTGATTTATTCTGTTACCTGTTCACAACTGGCATAATTGGTGTACTCTCTAAACTTAATAAACATAACCAAGAAATGAAATATTTCATATAATAATATTTTTATTTTAAGGTCAAACTGACACTAATACACTATTATGGTAAGTTTCCAGCTTTATGGATGAGAGAAGACTTCAGAGTCAATATATGAATTACTTAAAGTATAGAAACTACCAACCTTCCATAAGGTATTTAAACCTAAAAAAATGATAAGGCAGGTGTCTGCCCCTAAAATATCTTATATGTTTAAACCACTCTGCAAAGAAGGTCTCTTATTTTAGATATGCAAGGATTTCTCCAGAGTAGTAAAAATAAAAATAAGTAGATGAAAGTCAGCCAAAGTGTTAAAAACAATTTTCAAAGACAGAGACAGATATTCCTCTTTAAATTTATATTGCAAACATTTTTAAATCCTCATATTAACGTTGATTTAGTTAATATTACAAAGAGGAGAATTGATAAAGCAGGCATTTTAAAGCCTCATTTTAACATAGGTTTTAATTTATATTATGTAGACAAGATATTTTACTTACTTTTCTCCGGAAGGTGGATCACGTCTCCGATAATGATGTAACTGTTTACGTAACCTTTGACAATCTCTTCTAGCGCCACCAACGACGTCTTAGTGATCTGATGTAGGGATTTCTCTGTACTTAGTTCACCTGAACTTCAGCTACCTGTTTACGTAACCTAGATACAAGGGACTCGGGACTCTTCTCTTTGTCTCCACCCTTGTTGAGTCTAGATGTGTAGTCATTTGACGACTCAGATCTTGAATTACTCGATTCATCTCCTGCCTGAAATAATGGTTACCCATACATTTAACAATAATAATGGTTACCAATACATCTAACAATAACGATGGTAACCTATACATTTAACAGTAAATGTTTCTGAAATTTCAGTATATAAAAACCTTCAATCTGACCATGGAATATATATTGCAATTGTTTTATACTGTGTATGTTCCTATTTTGTATCACGTTAAGAAACAAATGATCATGTAATTGAATGTATAATACTAAAATACAAATCACAAGGTAACTTACCACATGGTTTTATCCGAGTCACCCGACTGTTCTACTTTCCTAGCTAGAAAATTACGTAATCTTTTCAATTCTTCCTCCTGTGCTTCAAACCTGTTCATGTGAAACATATTTTGAATATTATGTTTTAACAGGTATATAATTAAAATAAATGACATTAAATTCTACAGATATACATTTTTGTTTGTTTTGCATAAAGAAAAACAAAGTTTAGAACACCAGATGCATTATTTAATAAAGTGGCATATCCAAAAATGAAATATTAATATTGGTGTTTGTGAGCTAAATATTATTTGATATGCCAAACAAACAAATTTTCTATTTATTTCATGAATTTCTTGTTATATTTTTTGCAGGACTGAAAACTGGTTTTCAAAAATATGTTTAAATATTGTTAAAGTGCTCCTTTAAATTTTGAAATAGTCAATTGTTATTTTAAGACTTTTTTAATTACAAGATGCTAGATATTATAAGAAATTGAAAGGAATTGTAAGATCAACCATAGTAACTAAATCCCTAGTCCATAAAATATGACTATAGTTATAGCTAAAATTACAGAACAGCTTTACAAATTGCTATAAAACCTTTGAAAAAAGTAAAATATTTGGTTCAGGTTTCAGGTAACACTTCCTCTATCACAGTTGTATAAAGGTTTTCATTCTTTACTGGTCAAGGAAGGGCTGCAATGTATTGAACATTATTTCAGGCACAATGATCCGGACATGTGAGTGCACACTGTGTTCAGAATAAATTATAAAGTTTGTACAGGTTTGAATCCATAATTATACCCATCTTTTCAAAATCAGTTTTCTCTGTCATAATCTTTTAATACCTGTAAATGTATAATATACACACAGAAAAAATACTGGTAACACTTCAATCTTAGCCACACTCTATATAATATAATATATATAATAATGAATGCAATGGTGTGTATTTTTGTCTAAAATGAACTTTTTTTCTATAAAAATATGAACACCCAAAAATTGAGTCAACAAAAAACAAGAAAGTTCCACACAAGTGCAGGTTAGTTTAATGTGTATGACTTCAATCAGTAAAAAAACTTTGTGATGTTTTATATTTGAGCACCACATTTCTAAATCCTCACCTCTTCTCTTCAAGCTGAAGCCTGTATTATACATGTAGTAAAACAACAGCTAATTTCTTGTCAATTTTTCTAAATATCATTAAAAACTAAGATTTTTATACCATTTTCACTTCTAACATTAGACAAATTTTGTAAATAGAAAGTAACATTAATCTTTTCGTGGTTATATTATAGTTATTCAATTCAATTTATCAGTCAGCATGAAAGATTATTTCTTGCGTACTAAATTAAAATCATGAGAAACCTAAGTTCTAAAAACTGTATTTGATTACACCCATTCTCTTGGAAAAGCTAACAAGTTGTTGTATTTATAAAAAAAAAGAAAATGCAGTGGCAGATATTCCCAGTTGCTAATTGCTTACCATTTTCCTACCATTTCCAAGCTAGATATATAACAAAATATGACTTTCAAGCTATATATTTGTAGTAACAAGAAATGATTTCAAAATGTGCATTAAAATCAAATGCATGGAGCCTCCACAAATATGGCAATCATTATATTTGCCATCTTAAAAATAGTTTTATTGACAAAATTCTTACAATTATCAGAGCCAGCGGGTATTCTAAATTACAGGAAAACTATCAACATAAGAGACATGATAACTGAGGAAACACAAGGAGGCCAATTACATCAATTGTCAAAAATAATTTAACCAAAATGATTAAATTTTGGCCTTAGTCGCCATTAAGTGAAAATTATAAAGAAATAAAACACACCAAAAAAATTGTACATGCATTTTAGAAATGAAGCAAGTCACAGTGTTGGCTTTTTGATAATAAAACACAAAACAGACATTAATGTTACATGGAAAGCTTTTAAACATAAAAAGACGACAATGAAGTCAGATGAAATATTTATACATGTAGACATGTTGTAAGAGGAACAGCAAAGAAATAAAAGACTGTACCTAGCATGTAGCTCCATTTGTTTATCTGCCTCTATCGTTAATGTATCCTCAGCATGTTTCTGTTTCACCTTACATTCTCTAACATTATCCTCTAGCACCAATATCTCTTCCTGTAGCTATAGTAACAAACAGTATAACATTGATAATAACATTACAAAAGGCAATAACTCATATTCGATAGTTTTTGAACATAAGTTTTTTTTATCTCAATTGTAAAAAATACTGAAGCTTATATAAATCAGTGGGTGGTGAATAGTTGAACAACTTATGGCACAATCAGAACACCAAGCTCATGAGGGAAGTAATTCACAACATTAAACCTCGCTTGGGTTTAATCAATTTTGTACCAGACAATGATAAAATTATTAACTAATTCGCTAATAGTCAAGATATATTTGCAGTAGGACAGGAGGTGAACATTGATAGCTGTGAAAACATTTTAAAATCAGTTACTTATCATTACCTTAAGATTTTCTTTATTTTTGCTGGCAATATGTTTCCTGCATGAGTCAAGATCTGTAGATAATTGTTGATTTAATAACTGAAGTTTATCTTTCTCTTCTTCAATGTTTTCACTGTAATATATAAAATACATGGTGTAAGTACACATATTTAGAATAAATGAAAGTGAATAGCCTTTGTCATCGACAAAGAGCCAGGCCAGCATGCACATCAATGTACCGTGACCAAACTCTTTACTGTTTGTAACTATACTTTTTTAAATTTTGATATAGAAATCTGTAAAATTTTGAACTGACTGAAACTAGCCAGTAATGATGTCATAAAAGGAAAGAAAAGGAAGATGGTTTTGACCTTTAGGCTCCGATCTAAAATCCTCAACTTAACCACATCGCTACTTCCAACCTTAGGTACTTAATTTGTTGTTTATATTCTAGAGCTGACTTCTTGATTTTACCATTAAGATTCTGTATCTGTGTTTCTATAATCTGTTTTAAATTACTTATCTCCTTCTGAAATGTATAAATATCAAGTTAAACATTTAACTATGGGTTTAAGCAAGGGTATTCTGAGGAGGAAACTCTTTTTGTATTCTATGTAAATAATGCGACATACAGATGAATTGTAACTGTCAAAAATTATTTAAAATGAACATGTGTCATGTATTTGATATATGATTCTATATTAAGTATCATCTTATGTTACATTTTTTCTTAGTATTTGTTATCTTGTGTAATTGTCATGTTATTTTATATGTGATATATTTCTTTAAGGTCCGATATACAAGTCACCATCCTATATTATTTCCAATTCATCACCTATACATCCTATCAACTAATTACTGATATTTTTTAGACGTAATTTGCATGCTGGACCTCAGTTTTTACAATCATGCCAGACAAACAATCTCAGGCATTTGCACTTTAGTAAATATGGTTTCTATGGGTTATGCCAGAAATCTGTATCTTTTTGACTTATTCAGTGGTTCATTTATACTTTGACCATACAGTATTGGTGGTCAGTGTTTGGCACCGTGACTACATATACCTCAGAATTTCACATTGCTCTGTAACACTTAGAAATTCGAGGATGAATATAAAGCGGATTGGAGGAGTTTGCCACAGTGCAGAATTGATCACTATTTAGGGGCGAAGATGTGCAGCCTAACCGGGACTTGATGCAGGGAGCTTAAGATTACCGTACCGCACCTCTACGGACTGAGCTTTGAAGCCACTTACATATCTTTCTGCCCAAAATAGTGAACACTTCAGAATCATCTAATCATCAAATGCAAATGAAATTCGTCCTCAAATTTTACTGAGTTTTAAGGCTCAAAGATTTATTCAGTCACAGTTACAGGGCATAGTTAATTTTAAACTCAAAACTATATCCAGTCATGGCCCAAAATAGGTCACTGGGGGAGAATAATGTGCAGCTTGCCGGATCCTCTGAACACCGTCCCGCGGCACTACCCACTAAGCTATCCAGCCGTATACACATCTTCTCCCCTAAAGAGTGAACAGTTCTGAACATCTTGAAATATGAACCTGTAAAATTTCTACTTGTTCTGACTTGGCTTTAACCGTTGATTTGTTGGTATTAGAGATAGCGTTTAGTTCCTGAAGTTGTGCTGATGTAGCCACACATTTCTCCTCTTCTATCCTCAACTTCTCCTCTGCCTTCATAACCTGGTTCCTCATCTCAACAAAGCGAGCTTCAATTACGTTCTATAAATAATAATTGAAGGAATAATTACCCAAAGAAATACAAATTTTCAATGAATAAAATCTGTTCCTCATCTCCAAAATCTGTTATTTAACCCTACCAAAGATTTATTTTTCAACCCTACCAAGGCTTAATATCTAATATCTTTAATCTGGACAAAATCATTCATGAATTTTAGGTAAAATATCAAAATAAGAATGGACAAATAGAAAACAGTGCAGACCATAATCAGGTAGCTTGTCACATTTGTACATTTCGTTGCTGACAAAACTAGGGGTTAGAAAAAGAAAGTACCTAGATTTCAATATATCACATAATGTACATACCTTGTCATTTTTCATATCCTCTAGCTGTAACCGGAGTGTTCCTACAGATTGTTCCGCCAGTCTTCGTCCAGTACTCTCGTCTGATAACTTAGACTGCAGTTCTTCTACAATGTTTTCTAGCAGACGACACTTTACCTGCATGGAATCTCTGTCACTAGCTGCCGCAGCCAGGCTTGCTTCCAATGACCGCAATCTTGTTTGAGTCTGAATTAAACGATTATAATGTTTGTTTGTTTGTTTAATTGAGTTTTACGTCACCCCGACACAGTTTAGGTCAAATGTGGACGTTCAAGCTTTACTGGTGGAGGAAGACCTCAGATGCCCTTCCGTGCATTCTTTCAGGCACAAACGAGCACCTGAGTAGAATCACCGACATTCCGTAAGCAAGCTGGATAGCTTCCTCACATGAAGGGATTCGAACCCGCAGCGGTGAGGGGCAAGTGGCTTGAAGTCATAGACTTTAACCACTCGGCCACGGACGCCCCCGATTATGATGATGAAAATCAGATTAAAGGAACACAAATTTATATAATAATGACCAGTTTTCAATGCAATGAAGTTCAAACAACATAGGTAAGCAAAAAAAAGGATAAAATTTTCTACCTGAAGCAGTTACCTTGAGGTTTTGCTTGTTGTACCTAAATGAAGCAACAGTCCTATTTCTTAACATGACATCGCTACTGGTTAGTCAAGAAATAAGATTCAATATGATTTTAATTTTCTTACAGCTTTCTATTCAAGGAAGCATTAAAATATATTATTTAAACAGAAGCAGATTTTTGTACACAAATGTATAAACTTATTTATAAGTGCATAGATAGAACACATAATAATATTGTGTTGATCAGTTTTAAGTTATGTCAACTTGCTTAACATAAAACTTAGAATACTATTTAGAAATAGTCACAGATTTTCACAAAATACACTTGAATGCTTAACACATTCTTTAAATAAATGAAATATAAATTTACAGACAGTTTTATATGAGGTAATCAACATACTTGTGAAAGATTATCATTACGGAAGTGTCGTTCATTTTCATGTTGAGATTTTAATTCATTTATTGCAATATTTAATTCCCGAGCCTCGCGGTTCCCAGTTTCCTTTTGAGCCTTCAGATCAGCATGAACAGTGGAACAGTGTGGTTCTCGGCTTCTAGACGAGTGTTTCTCTCCTGGAGTTTGGCGAGGGCTTCATTTAGGGCCATCAACTCTTTTCTCTGACCATCAAGTAGCACCTTTGAATCCCCGGTTGAGGATTCTAATTTCTGAACATGAGCTTCAAGATGTCTCTTCTCTCTGTAAAGTGCGAAAAATGATATTATATTAACAAAACTTACTTTTGTTTAATAAGGTATATTTAAAGCAGTGTTCTGTTTATTTTACTTTATTAATTCTTAGAATCTTTCAAAATCAAAGAGATTCAATTTAGGTCTTATGTCAAATTTTCAAGCATTATACATTATAAAAGATTAAAGACTTTTAGTAGACACCATTCCTGACACCAACCACCAACAGTCAATAAGACAAAAATAAAAATTTGACAATAATGGTTTCACAATCAGCACCCTTAACAAGTTGTAGATCAAAACTGTAGTAAAACAAAATCATGTAGGAATTCTTAAATACACAAGACAAAACATCAAGATATTTAAGCAACCTCAAACATGTACACGTAATAATTCAGTAAAATTTCATCAGTAATATTTCACACTAGAGTTATGGCCTTTTTCAAGTTTTCTTCAAATATGAAACAAAATGTAACACAATATTTCAAGTAATATTTGTGTAAATAAAATGTTTATGCAAAACCTTAACAAGGAATTGTGTAAGTTCAAAAAGAAACAGATAACAGATTGAGGAGGCAGCTTCCACTATTCCTTGTAACCAAGCTGAATATATAAAGAGTTGACAGAAATATTACTGGCCTTATTACAGCTTCCACTATTCCTTGTAATCAAGCTAAAAGAGTTGACAGAAATATTACTTGCCTTGTTACAGATTCCAACTCTTGTAAAGTTTTACCAAATGTATTCAGCTGTATCTCCTTCTGTTTTAATTGCTCATTTATATTGTCTATCTCCTTTCTCAAATATACAGAAAATACATGATGAAACATTTCTTATAAAACACTATTCATATATGTTATTATCAACCTGGGCAAAATATACAAAATAACTTTTCTCCAAAAGAATGTCATCATTATTCTTTCTGATAATATTTTTTATTTGTTGGGTATCAGTATTAAAAGGTCATAATTATGTCAACTGAAAGTTTTTGATGACTGGCAGGGACTCAATAAACCCCATTGATACATTATTTATACATGTTTACCTAAAAATTAAACAAATCAAGCAGAGTTCCACTTAACACTAATTTAAACCTCTAGGGACTAACATCTATTTACAATCAAAATTTTTATCTTCAAAGAGAGGGTTGTTTTGTATACAGAGGTTATATACACTTACTTGGCTAAAACTTTCTCTTGTACCGCTATGGTCCTATCTTGTTCCAGTCGTAACTTTTCCTGAGCATGTTCTCTTTTCAGATGTTCTATTTTCTCATCAGTTCTTTCCCTTAGCTCTGTTAACTGCCTTTCTTTCTCTGTCAGAGTGCGACACAGTCCAGCATAATCTGTAAAAACAGAATGCAGCTTATCTGTTACTTATCAATGTACCATGACACCTTGTTGAAATTGTTTGTTTTTATTGTATTTAAGTAAGTATGTTAGTATGTTTTTATGAATTAAAAGAAATTGTCATACAAAATTAAGTAACCGTTGTTGAATAAACCTTTCCTTCAAAATGTTTCGAAACTTTTGGATTAACTAACATACATGAAGCATGAATCTAGTACAATTTTGAGTCACTAGATTACAGCTGTATACCAAATTCACATGCATGTTTTTTCTAATCATATCTCAATAACAGCTAAAGTTAACAAATTCAAAGCATGTTAAATTAATAAAGGCAGATCATTATTTAATTGCGACAAATAATACAAGTTGTCTTGTGTTAATATCTTATGTCAATCAGTTTTCATCATCAAAGGGAGATAAGATTCAGATATGAAATACCTGCTCAAGAGAGTAATCTTCTTTAGAGATAAAAAATAAAGCCAGCAAACCCAAAAATTTATAAGTTTAATTGTTGTTAGCAACTGGAAAATTCATGAAGTGTTTTAAAAGTTTTCAAATATTGAAAATCTAGTGACTTCCTGATCTTAAATCTTCTACAGAAGATATAAACAAAAAGGTAAAATTTTTATGATTATTCTATACTACTGACACGTTTCACAAAAAGAGGTCAAGTTTTTATTTTTATTTAATTAAAGATAAAATATTATGGTCAAATTCAGAATTTGTGACCATATTCTGACTGCATCAACAAGAAACAATATCAATAGAAGGAAAGTATTAAGAACTCAAAACTGTACCAAAGTGTAATGTTGAAATGGAAAAGTATAAATATCTCAGAAAACTAATGAACAGTTTGAGACTGCACTGTCTGGCTATAATTAATTTAAGGATAAGGTGGTTATATATAAAAAGATTTTTCAATTGACACCCTTGTTTTTATTTTGATAAGCATTATGTGTTGATTATCAATGAACCTTGCCTTGACAAGGTGTCACCTTGTTGAAATTGTTGATTTTTATTGAAATGTTTTTATTATATTGGGTGTTCTATGTTAGTCAGTTTTAGTATGAATGAAACGAAAATCTAATACAAGTAACGGTAGTTGAATTAACTTTTTTCAAAATTATTATGACACTTTTTGATAAACATACATGAAGCTTGATTCTAGTACAGCTTTGAGTGACTTAATTACAACAGTATACCAAAATCACATACATGTATGCTGATCAATTCTCAATTACAGCTAATGTTAATAGATTCAATGTATGTTGAGTTAATAAAGGAAGATCAGAAGAAGAATTGTGCAATCAGTTTTCATCATCAAACTTAAGGAAGATAACCACTGTCAGGTATAACAATATTGAAAAACAGAGATATCTTCTTAAGATTGAAAGAGAAAGAGGAAGTAAAATGATTTCATAAAACCCAACATCCTAGATATCAACACTTAGGAAATTTCTCATAAATTTTGTTTTGTTTTAAAATATTAAAAATCTAGTGACTTCATTCTTAAATCTTCTGCAGATAAAAACAAAAAGGTAATAATTTAATGATTACTCTATACTACTGCCAAGTTTCATTTAAATTTATTTCAAAAAGAGGTCAAGTTTTTTTTATTCAATTAAAGATAATATATTATGCTCAAATTTGAATTTGCGACCATATTTTGACTGTATCTACAAAAAAACAATACCAAGGGAAGGAAAGTTATAAGCACTCAAAACTGTACCAAAGTGTAATGTTGAAATGGAAAAGTATAAATATGTCAGAAACAATTAAGATACAGCGCTGTCTGGCTTAAATTAAATCAAGATCAAGGTGGATATATATGGAAAAAAGATTATTTCTTAAATTGAAACCCTTATTTTATTTTGTTAAGTATAATGTGTTGAGTATCAATGTACTTGGACAAGGTGTCACTTTGTTACAATTGTTGATTTTTATTGTATTGTTTTTATTGTATTGGATGTTTTAGATTAGTCAGTTTTAGTATAAATAAAAAATTGTCATACAAAGTAACCATTCTTGAATACACTTTTTCTTAAAACTATTATGACACTATAAGATTAGCATACATGAAACATGAATCAAGTACAGCTTTGAATGACTAAATTACAGCAGCTAGTATATTAAAATTAAATTCATGCATTTGCCGATCAATTCTCAATTACAGCTTAAGTTAATGTATTCAAAGCAGGTTAAATTCATAAAGGCAAATCAGAATGTATTTGTGAAGAGTAATACAAATTGTCTTGTGCAAATAGCTTGTGTAAATAAGTTTTTATCATCCAAAGGAGATAACAAATGTCAGATATAAAGTGATTGTAGAACAAAGTTATCTTCTTAAGATTGAAAGAGAAAGAGGAAATAAAATGATTTCAGAAAACCCAACATCCTAGATATTAACATTTGGGATATTTATCAAAAATTTAGTTTTGCTTTAAAATATTGAAAATCTAGTGACTTCATGATCTTGAATCTTCTGCAGATATAAAAAAGGTAATAATTTAATGATTACTCTATACTTCTGACTAATGGTGATTAAATTTATTTCAAAACGTGTTTAAAGTTTTGAATTTGATTAAAGATAATATACTATGCTCAAATTTGATTTTGCCACCATATTTCAACTGCATTTACATAAAGCAATATCAAGTGGAGAAAATAGACAGCACTTATAACTGTAATTTTTAATGGAAAGAGCAAGAATACCTGTATTATTATGTCAGACAACTCACAAACAGTTTAGGTCTACGCTGTCCGGGTGTAATTAAGTCAGGAATGGATCAAGGTGGATATATATGATTTTTTTTTAAATGATACCCTCGTTTTATTTTTATAAGCATAATGTGTAATCAATGTACCTTGACAAGTGTCACCTAGTCAAAATTGTAGATTATTATTGTACTGTTTTTTTTTTATTGTATTGGATGTTTTAGATTAGTCAGTTTTAGTATGAATAAAAAGAAATTGACATTCAAATAGATCTTTGTTGAATAAAGTTTTTCTTCAACTATTAGGACACTTTTGGATAAACATACATTAAGCATGAACCTAGTACAATTTTATATTACAACAGTATGCAAAAATCACATACATGTATATGCTAATCTATTATCAATTACAGCTGAAGTTAACAAATTCAAAGCATGTTAAATTAATAAAGGCACATCAGAATGTATTTGTGAAGAACAATACAAATTATCTTGTCAAAAAAACTTTTTATCATCCAAGGGAGATAACAAATGTCAGATATAAAGTGATTGTAGAATAGAGTTATCTTCTAAAGGTCAGAAAACCCCAACATCCTAGTTCTTAACACTTGGAAAATTTCTCAAAAATTTTGTTTTGTTTTAAAATATTGAAAATCTAATGACTTCATGTTCTTAAATCTTCTGCAGATATAAACAAAAAGTAATAATTTATTACTCTATACTACTGACAACTGTTCATTTATATATTTTAAAATGATGTCAAAGTTTTGAATTTGTATTTTTCATTTCATATAAAAAATAAACAGAATAAACTGATTTTCACAAAACAAAAATCATCTTCAACATATTATAATACAATATAAAATAACAAAGATTGATAACGATGAAGATGATTATAAAAACAGTTTTCTATTAAGGAAAATTTCATAATTTAACAATAAACAATTATTATCTTAGAAAAGAAAATCAGAAAAAGAAATAATGAAATTAAATATATTAGAAACTTTATAATATTTTAGAACAATAATAATATTTTCAGAATGTATCAAGTACCAAATTACACAGAGACTGTGTCAATGAGATTATCAGAGGTTCTGGCTGATATAGGTGTTGATGAGAGAATAATACTGAAGAGGAGAAGAACATGGCTTCTGAGAGAATCAATCGAAAATATAAATGACCAATTAAATTTTATAGCATACTATTTTGGGAGTCAATCAGAAGGTACAACTACAATTGGAATCCATTCAGACACAGATCACCTGCTTTGGTATAAGAATCTCTCTGTGATACAAGACTGGATTGATTGGATACCTGGTGTATCAAATCATTTAATGATTCAAGATAATTCTGTATCTCCTGGATATTGTTTCCTTCAATGTCTGAGATCTGATGCTCCTCTTCCTGCTGATAATGAATCTAATAAAATCTTTTTCAAAGACAGAACAGGAAAATTGTTTCTAAAGAATTCTATAATATCCTTTCTTACAGTGGGTACAGAAACACATGGACCAGCACGAGCAGAACAAGGACAACAAGGCTTCTCTGATGTAGATAGAGTGTTAGCTTTACATTGTACAACATGGCCACAACAAGCTAGACAATGGTTGGATCAACAAGGTGAAGATCAATGGCCGTCTGCTGAAATGAAACAATATTGCAGCAGAACTGGATGCTTTGTTGTTGGAGTTGGATGTAGAGGCAGTGAACATGAGCAACTTGAATGGAGAATATCAACATCTTTCGCAGAAAGGTGTTTAATGTTCAACCTGAATATTTCACAGATTCGCTGTTATGTTTTGATGAAAATTATTTTAAAAACATTTATCAATCCATTGTTTAAAGATGTTATTTCCAGTTTTATGTGTAAAACTGTACTCTTTAACTGTATATCCAATACACATTCTAACATCTGGAGAGAAAATAATTTACTTTCATGTCTTTCACTCTGTTTATATCTCCTGTACAACAATATAATTAATGAAAATTGTCCACATTTTATTATTCCTGGTAACAATTTAATGAGGGGGAAGATTTTACCTGCAGTTAAACCATATATCCTGGAAATACTCAACAATATCATCGACAGTGAAGGACTGGCACTACTGTGGATTAAATGTGATGATCTTGGTTCCAGGCTTCATCTCAAGTTTAGTAACTTGTGTGCAATCAAGAAAGGTGATATCATTTCAGAAACACTATTATATAATCTGGCTATATCTATATCTGGGACACTGATAGAAACTTATTATCATCTTAAGGACAGAAGTCCTAATGAAGCTGTAGAAATATTAAAGAACTTTATATCAAAAGCTTTCAACAGTCAATATGAAGGATTGGATAAGACAGCCAGTCATCTTCTGTTGCCATGGTATTGTACAATACTAGGATCTGTACTGGCTTCACTAAACATCTATCATTACAACATTGTATCAGCAGATGCCCTCAAACTCATCTCACTTGGCATGAATACAGATGTTGCATCAAGTAAACTGAAACTGGCTTCGATCTTATACTGTGTTCAAGAACTACAAAAAGCTGACCTAGTACTCAGTGAGATAGAAAGAAGATATGACCTACAAATTGTTGAGCCTATCTGTATTTGTCATGAATTTAAGAGGGGACCAAGAAGACAAGGGTTCTTTGAATTATGTGACAATCACAATGAAGACGTCATACAGTATGCAACAGCATCATGTGTTACATTTCTGCCATGTGAAATTCACTGTGTACCAATAGAACTCAGATATGAAATGTATAGATCTACACAAGAGGACAGAATGTTTCGTACATTTCAAGAAAACTTCTGGATGGATTATGCTGTGGTGGATTCCCTCCCTTACCTCTACTTTCTACAATACAAAGTTTACAGCCATTTAGGAAGACATGACCGGAAACAAGCTGCTCTCTTCAAACTTACCAGAACCATAACAGTGGAACCAAACCTTGGACATCGGGAAACAGCTCTAAATCTTCTAGGGAAATGCATGGAACAAGAAGGTAGAGCTGGGGACGCTTTACAGTGTTATTTGATGTCACTTAGTATAAGGGGGAGAAACAATGCTGCAAAAATTCATATCAACACACTCTTATCTGTATTGATAAATGCAAGGACATAAAAGGTACGTGGAGAAATGTGGAAATGACAAAAGCAGGACAGTAAGATAGTAATGAACAAGCTAATTTATATTCCAAAAACATTTTTTTTTTCAAATTATGTAATCCAAGCTACCCTTACCAGCAATATCAACTTTGATTATACCCTAAACAAAACATCTACCTTTAAGATCAAGGTACATTGGAATGTATGGAGGTTGAAGGTTAACTTCTAAGATTAACTTCTATTTATCCAGGGGGGATAACAATTTATTTAGAGTATTTGGATACCAGGTAATAAAATCACCTAGAATTTGGCTGCATGTGAATTTAGCCAAGTTACATTCATGGAAAAAAATAGTTTAATTGGGAATAAAACCTTAAAGCTTTAAAGCTTAAGCATTGTCATTCAGATATGACAACACAATAAAATAGTGTGGATACTGTTTACCTTGATAAATGGTTCCTTTATCTTGTGTAAGTTTCTGTATTGTATCCTTGGTAATGAGGAGTTGACCTTTATTGCTATCTAACTCGACCTTTATTTTACTAAGTTCATTTTTCATGGTAGATAACTCCTCCTCTTTATCTCCAAGTTCCCTCTACAAGTTATTTCATAAGTTTTTATTTTTTGCAGGTTATATATATATAGGCAGGCCTTATATAAATGGTTGTTTGTAAATATAAACTGAGCCCCCAGGCAAGGGCTATATTGCAAAAAAAAAATCCATTTATATAAGGCTATATACCCTGAGAGAAATATATTAACGAAAGGAATATTTATACATGTATTGATAATCAGTGCTATAGACTAGGTCAGAGACATTTAATTTGTACTTACTAGTATTTCAAAATTTTTACTAAACAGAACAATTATTAAAGCTTTCTTGAAGGCATGCAGCTCCAATTTTTAAATATTTCAGAAAAATTCTCAATGAAAATAAACAGTCAACAATATACCATGGAATGTTGTAATTTCTCTGTTGCTTTACATAACAACATCAAGTTGACTATCAGTCATAAATGATGTAACTAGAACTTGAAAACAGTTTTATCATACCATCACTATATGTATCCCACCTAAACTGTAAAGGTCACAGAGTACTGTATATCGTGAATATCCATCTTCACATGTCTCTTAGTCTTATTTCAGGCAAGAACAGACACATGTAAAAACCTGTCATTCCATAGGCTTAATAGTTAGTTTCCTGAAATGAAAGACTCTGTTGTCAAACGTAAAGTAGAAAGGAGCAAGTTGTTTGAAATCAATGACATTGACCTCTCGTCCACGGATAACAAATAGCATCATTAAGTTTATGTGTTGGGTTTTACGTTGCGCCAACACTGTAAAGGTAATATACTGACTTTTAAGCTTTACTGGTAGTAAAAGACCTCAGGTTCCCTTTTGCGGATTGTTTCAAGCATGAACAGTCACCTGAGTAGAACCACCGATGATCCTTACATGAAAGATTCCTATGTCCCTTGCTAGATTGGAACTCATAGTAGTGAGGGTCTAATTGTTTAAATCACTCCGTATCTTACTTTAGAAATTGATCATTTTTACTGTTATGATATCAATATTTAAAGTACTGAAAGTAAAGTAAAAATGAGATGAGTAATGTTTCGTTCTGTTAGACTGATAGTTTTTTATTATATTTCTAACTCTAATGCTATCTTTAAAAATAAATGAAAAAAAAACAACAAATTTCAAACGCGTATGTCAAAAGAACAAGAAAGTAGGTCAAATGAAATAAAATTCAATTCAATATTTATCTATGACATTTTTGTTTCTTAAAAAGCCAAACATGCACAAATGTATGATTCTTTTTTTAAATTGAATTATTTTTATAAATAGTTAAATATATCTTAATTATGAAAATAAATTAAATAGTTCATTATAAATACAATGTATCATAAAAAAATTGTAACAGAGAAGGAGAAGTAACACATTTATAAAAGGTGCTAATTAACTAACAAGTATAATGCATTAAACAACTTTCATACTTCTTTAATGATTCCTAATCTGTTATTATCTGTTATTTATCAACATGCACCAATATAAACATAACATATGCATGACTATATCCATTTAAGCTATTTTATAATTTGAAAAAAACTATACATGTAAACATATTTATATAAATATGCATATATATGTAGATATATAGCTGAGATTTTAGTTACAATTCATTAATACATTATGATTATCATATCAATAATATAAACATTTTCCCACGGAAATTTATTTATTTATTACCAAAAACAAAACCAAAAATCTTTTTTATCATAAATGTAATAAGTTTGAAAGTTTGAGTTATACTATATAAAATACATAAGCCCAGAATTGTTTTTATTTTACATCTTTGTCAAGCTTACAAAAGATGCCGAAAAGACCAGGGTTTTGAGACTGAAACATCAAGGACCGAAACAACCAGGACGTGAAAAGTCCTGAAATTCTATAAATTTGCGAGGATTTTTTATATGACTTTGCTTTGCTAAGAAGGAAATAATCTCAAAGTAATGTCATTATTTATAGAACTAATGTCGAAACTGAAATGTTCAATAATTACAGGCCATATTTATTGCAAATAATTAAGTATATATAACTCTAGATCGAGTTCAAAGTCTATAAAAACGCGAATATACAAGACACGAAAACAATTCTCTGTAAGTCTTAAAATCTGTTAAATACACCAATCATACATACATACTTACAGACAGACAGACAGACAGACATATACTTTTATTTACAATCAGGTTTTACAGTACATATACATGAGAACAACATGATTTAATCACTTAGACAAAAATAGAATATATATACACATGGCAGTTTGCATGCAGATTATGGTATGAATATGAATTGTGGAAAGGGTATTTACTAAAATTAAATTATTATTATCATTTTATCAACAAAGGGGACAGTTTAAAATTATATACTTATATTTGATGGTCATCAAATCTTAAATTGTACAATAACTTTAGCGTTTATACAGCAATTTACGTAGTACACATTCACAAGTGTGGCACTGCAAAGGTCAGTAGGTGTGTGGGTGTTTACAGTTCAGTAATTGGAGATCTCGTGCGACTTGTGGATGTGTACACGTGTGTTTATATAAATATGGAATACAGTTTATAAATAAAGAAATGAATGGATTAACACATGAGTTTGAAAAAGTAACAACAAAAAGATTCAATCGATTGACTCACTGGGTAAGTTATTTCTTAACATTGTTTATTTATTTATTATTATTATTTTTATTTTTTTATTGGGAAACCGTTGCTTTATGTTGTTCAATAATTGCTCCCGGTTACATTACGGGGTGACAACTGAGTACTGTAAAATATAGTAAAAAAAAAACAAACAAAAATATAAGCATTACAGGTAAAACCTCTGAAGTATAGAAAAATAAATAAACAAAAAATCAAACAAAATGTAAGCATCTGACAGGTTAAAATGAAGGAAATTCTTCATAAAAAGTAATAAACAAATTTTGCAATTGAAAGAAAGCTATTGTATTTTTTGTATCTAGGCTATATTTCATATAAAATGAACAGGAATCATTTATTGAAAATGACATTATACGTTTAGAGAAAATGGCAACATTTTTTAGTAAAGAGAATGAAGATTGATTGCATCAGTTCTTTGAACATGAGTTAGTGTTCGGTTCTATTGTAATATTTACTTGGAATTAGGCTTCTCTCTACTAAGTACAAAAAGAAAGGGCAATTTTAATATATAGTGAAATCATCAGCAATATCATTTTTGATTACATAAAGTGCATTTCCCCTTTGATCATGTTCTACAAAAGACTGGCGCCATCTACCAGTTTCGACGTTGCCATTCTAAAATGAAAAAAAATTAATACGTTGGTTATATGGTAGTAGATTTTAGGTAAGGTTCGAAAATTGTGCATCTTTAAATATCATATAGTTCTTCTTTAGATGAATTCCTCAGTAACCGGACCATGTTTGATAAAACTGATCTATTAGGCATCTGTTTAATTTTTTTTGTGAATATTACGATTTTCTATTAGATTTTTGATTTTAAACCAAAAATAAGTATTACCAGTATTATCGAGTATATTATGTACATGACGAACTCCATTTAAAATTTAACGCAGATTCTATACATATAGTTAATAACTAGTCTAGATATCTTATTTTCATGTGAAGTACAAGTTTAGACGAAAAGCTGATTATTCTGGTTTTGATTATTATCTTCTAGGGACAACGACCTAGGTTCACCATATAACATATATAAAGGTGTACTTTTTTCTGCATGAGTTATTTTTCGGAGAAAATCGTATGTATTTTTTCTAAAATGTCGAGGTTTTCAAAACCCCAAACTTCACAATTGAATGTAAGAATAGGTAAAATAGTTTGATCAAAAAGCTTAAGTTGAAGGTCAATAGGTAAGTCTAGATTGAATTTTCTACTATATAAAAGATGCATAGCTTTATTTGCTTAAGAAGCAAGTGATTTTCTAGCACTAAGAAAACTACCCGAGGACGAAAATACCACTCCCAAAAATTTACACTCTTTTACAATTTCAAAGGGGTTTGCCATCAAGAGTGAAGTGAAAAGTTTCGGGTTTGTTTCGTTCCAAAAACCAAGACCTTTGACTTACTCATATTTTTTTCAAGTTCCATTCTTTACAATAGTTTAGAAAATTCATTAAGTGTTGATTGGAATGATATTTTGTCCTCGCTAACAATAATGGTGTCATCTGCATATAACAATACAAAAAGTTTTAAATACACATCAAAATCATTACTATGGTAATGCAAGGTTATTCCTGGGTTATTTTGCTCTAGATAACTTTCAAGATCGTTTAAATATATAGAGAACAAAATCGGGGAAAGATTTTCCCCTTGTCTTACTCCGCTTAAACTAGAGAAGAAAGGAGAAATAACATTAGAAGAGGACACACATGATTTTATATCTGTGTACATGTTACGCATTACTTGAAATATTTTCCCATTTATTGGCGTCCGCGCCGAAGCGCGGCGCCTTTTATGAAATGAAATCAGATTTTGTGAAAGGGCGACAGCAACTTCTCGAGCCTTTTATAGTTGTTCATAATAAAAGCCGATCATTCCGATCGGTATGAGGGTGCTTGATTATTAACTAGTCGCGATATGTACAATGAATAGCGAACTGGAGAATTTCGCAATGCAAACATTTTCAAATTAAATAACCTTTTCCGTCAATAAATCGCGCTCTTCGGGATATTTTTATCTATCATTTTGTAGTACACAGTGGGTTATTATGGTATGTTATTCCGAAAGCTGTAAATAGAATGATGAGTTGATGACCTAAATATTCCGAAAATCTATTTATAGAGGGATGTACTCCTGTAGGTAATTCCGGTCTCTCCTGGGCCCGTATTCAATATACATCTTAAGATTTTTCTTATCTTTACGCGATATTTTCCTTAACTAAAGATAATATATTTCTTATCCTTAAGTACTACTTAAAAAGCTACTTAAGTTATTTCTTAGCTAAAATTTTTCTTAAGGTTAAGAATTTTCTTATTTCGTTTGAGAAAATTCTTAAGTACGTTGCCAGGCTATTCTGGTTTTTCCATCGCTTAAAATAGTAACGGAAATGAGAATTATGCGCGCGCAGCGTCTCATTCAACATGGCGGAGGCAGCAGACGTAAAGAAACGCCGAAACGCCAATTTTTCGGCGAATGACTGCTTATTGCTGGCAAACATTATGGGGCAGTCATCAAACTTAAATAAAACACTGACGAATTACCAGTACGTTCGCCATAAGTTCAACAGCAGTAAGTATTTTGCCAATATTACCATGAAATGTTACATTTGACAGATGGCGGGAGTTGAAGGGAGATAACCAGCTTGTTTTTGGCTTGCAGCCACGGCTGCAAGCCATTTCATATGGAAAACTTGTTCCGGTTAGGTGGTTTTCTGCTTACATTTGTAAGTGCATGATTGAACGGGAAACCAGCTACAATCGTGCCAATCGCAACTTTACGGCCTTTTCCGTCACTCTTCGGATTAATGATAATAGCCGATGTAGTTCCGATTGCAATCGTGACAATTCGGGCGATTCCGTCATACTGCGGAATCAGACGATGTAATATTACGGAAATCTAAGCTATTTTAGTTACTTCGGTAATCCCAGTTTGTTTATATATAAATAGGATTCGTATTTTTACTTGATTTATTGATTTAAACTGTAATAAATTATAAACGAAATTGTTCCGTTTCAATTCTTTTTCAAGACGCAAAAGTTAGTTTCTTTTATAATTGTTTTTTGTCTGTATTAGTTTTATACAATAGAGGATGTTGACTGTAGTAGTATTCCGTCTTCAAAGGGTGGTCCAAATCACACAGAATATTAGTGCATGATCGTGTTATATTTAGATCTACTGAACTTGGTGAGGTAATCTAAAAATAGCCCATGCATATCATTAACCTTACCACGTGATGATCTATAGATAGCGCATCGTATCTGTGAACATGCTTATTAATTGGTACCACGTTACGAGGTTGAAATGAAATGTGCACACTTGTTTCCTTTTATTTTCTTTATTAGTTTTAATTATTTTCTTTATTAGTTTTATACAATAGAGAATATATTTCAAATCGTTTTGACAAAAATATTCGTTTTTACAAAAATAAAAACAACTACAGTAAATATGTTGGGATGAAGGCACAACTGTGCAAGCCTTTCCTTTTAAAAGGAAACTTTATTTACAATTCATTCTTCGATCTTGGACTAACGATGTATTTTAAACTCACTGTCTCCGATTATTGTTATGTTGAAATAAACTTTAACACTTAATAATAGAAGAAACATGCTTTTATTGTTGATATAAAGTGACAGTGATTGATCGACAACCAAAACAAAAATATATATCAGGCATTATCTTGGCTGTCAGGGTTTGGTGGTTGTCTGCATTTGGTGGTCCCCAAACAGTACAGAATTATAAACACAGCAAAAACTTATACTTTTATTAACATTTAGTACAATCTAAATGCACTCGTCTGTGGTGAAATTTTCTCTTTTTATGACATTTTGTTTCAAAAACGCAAAAAGTACAATGTGTGGGATAGTAGACCTAGATCTAGCTGTAAGAGATACTATTAAAATAAGAAGGCAGGGTAATAAAATTGGATAAAAATATGATAACTTAAAAAATGTGCATTTATTCATTTGTATGCTTTAATATTGAATCCTTGTATATATTAAAATTCCACAGTGCTAGACTAATATATCCCTTTATACAAAAGATACATGTATGGAGGATGTTTTTTTTCTAGAAACTTAAAGTTTACTGTAATTGTTGATATGAACTTTCAAGTTCCTGTTAACCAACATATACTATTGAAATTTAAATTTGATTCACTTTGTATTTGATTGTCTACCTGGCTGATAGAAACTATATCCACAGTGTTTTCACATTTAAGAGAGACTCTGTATATATGTTGTTATAAAAGTTAGCATGTTAGCATGCTCAAATTTGAATTTTAAAAATATTAATAATTGCTACACAGTCTCTTTGAATGTATAAAATAAAAATGTTTTGACTTCATTTAAAGTAGATATGTTATGTTTTGAACTCGTCACACTATAGGCGGTCATAATATGAATATATATATATATATATAGTGTGTCATTAAAAAAACTGGCAGTTTTTTAAGAAAAGTTCAACTTCACTTGACATGTAATAGGGAATGCAGCTTCCCATACATAGTATTACATTGTAGTATATTCATTATTTTATCAATTTTAAACATATTCAGTAAGAATTTCATGAATTTCAATACATTTCTAAGGTTAAAATATTTTACCTACAGATGAGCATAGTATATCTTTAAAGTGTATGGAAACCCAAGCATTATATTTTATCGCTCATCAATATGCATTTCCTTTTTGCTCAGGCATAACATCATCAACAAAGAAAATAAACTGGACCAAAATAACTGAGAACTTTATTACTGTGGCAGAAGTTCCAAGGAAGACAGAGGACATTGTTAAAAAATGGGACAACCTGGTACAAACACACAGGTTAAAGTATCAGGACTTCCAGAGGGAACAGTCTGCTACAGGTAACATACAATTTTTTTAATATTCAAGCTTGAGTAAAGCAAATGTTTATATAATGTGTTGTAGGTGTTTGAGGCTTTTCTATATTCAATTTGTTACTTGGATAATCTTATCATTATTACAAGTATAAATAAGAATTGGAACCACATTGGCCCACTAGCACCAACTACATGTAGGTATAGTATTCAATCTTTTTTTAAAAATGTATCATTTAAATTAAGAAATTCCTTTACATCAATATTAACAATCAATGTCAAGAATAATGATAACATGATGCATATATTCACTTTATCTAAGTTATAGCCTAACTTTTTTATCTTTCAGGTGGTGGTCCACAACCAGGAAAGATGTCTGCAATTACTGAGGCAGTGATGGATGTAATTGGGAGGAATTCAGTAAATACAGTAGGAATTCCTGGTTCTACAAATTATGATTCTTCCTTGATGATGTTAGAAAGGTATCATTTTATTAATCATTTAATACAGTAAACACTTAACCTATAAATGTATAGTTGTATACAGTTTGTTTTGTTTCATAATATTATGTAACAATACAGACATTTTATAAAACTTTTTCCATTAGCTGTCAGAAAATTGTGTTATCAAAATTCAGAATTTAAGAACATCATAACCATGTCAGTTAAACCCAATTCTTTGATGCATAGAAAATACTTATTTACATCACAAAATTGTATAAACCGATAAAGGTATATTTTGTGTATGATAAAGCCAGTCTGTTTTTATACAGCATACAAGATAACACATATGCTGTACATGTATGTACAAATGTACACTGAAAGTTCTAGACCTAGCAGGTGATAGTTCATTTCAAAATAACAGTTCATCTGAAGCAGTTTTATTATATTTAAATTCTAATACTATCATATTTATTGTGTTGTTACAGGCTATTGACATGTAACAATTTTAATTTTCAATTACTGATTTTGCAATACTTTATACAAAAATGTTGGATGTGTCTAAGCCTATTATCTTGTAATGAACTTGAATTAATGGTCTCTTTTGATTACATCAACAATGCTTATCTGGAATTCAAAAAAAGATCAGCTTTTCATAAAGGTTATCATTTATCCTTAATCATTTGTATGAAATAAAATGTGTACAAACATTGTTTTCTTCAGTGATTAATAGAAATATATTGTAGTCATGTTTGAGTTTAATGTTACAAAATCTATTTTCACAAGATTTCATTTCTATTACTATCAGGATATATTTTTTTCTGTTTTTTTGTCCAGACTGACACAGAAGACCACAGACAACACCAAAACAACAGAGGATATTGACATGTAAAGTTTACTTTTAAATTATTGATTTTGTAATACTTAATTGAGAAAATATGAGATATGTCTTTGCCTATTATCTCATAATTATCATAAACTATTTTTCAGTTTGTGTTAACTTTTGATATTAAATGTTGTTTGTTCTCTGTTGGACAATGCTTATATCTGAATTAAAAAGAAACATCTGCTTTCCTTAAATAATATTTTATTGTGTACTGAAAAATAACATTTTACTCAGTACATTTCCACTTTCCACTAAACTGATTCATTATTTACAGTATAACAGAAATTATGTTATCGGATCATGACAGTGAGGTAGATCTAGTGGGGCTGAAAACATCAAAAAGAAGTCTTCCATCAACATCAACATCTTGCACAAAGTGCCAATGTTTAGACTGTTCCAGTATGAGACAACTGAAAAGAAAGAAACTTGAACTTCAAATTCAGTATTTTTCAAAAATTGAACAATGAATGCTGGTTTTTGTGTCGCCTCTACAGAGTAGTGGTGACATATAGGGATCACTTCTCCGTTGTCTGTCTGTCTGTCTGTCCGTCTGTCTGTTACAAAACTTGTCCGGACTACTCCTCATAAACTACTGGTGCAATTTCATCCAAACTTTACAGGAATGATCAGTACCAAGTCTAGTTGTGCATATTGTCAGCATTTTCCAGTTCAATGATTTTTGTCAGAGTTATGGCCCTTTAATATTTTTTTTTTTAAGTTTGTCCGGACTACTTTTCTTATACCACTTATGCAATTTCAATGAAACTTTACAGGATTGATTTGTAGCTCAAGTCCTTGCACATATTGCATTGGTTTTCCGGTTGAATGATTTTTGGCCGAGTTATGGCCCTTTGATAAAAAGGTGTTATTTCTGTGTGTTGCCAGATACACAAAAGCTTGTCCGGACTACTCCTCATAAACCAATGGTGCAATTTGATCCAAACTTTACAGGAATGATCAGTACCAAGTCTAGTTGTGCACTGTCCGTCTGTCTGTCCGTCTGTCACAAAACTTGTCCCACCATGAAATTGGCCATCATGAGGCGACACATGTGATCACTGATCACTCTTGTTTTATACATGAACATGTGCTAAATAGAGGATATTTGTTTGTTTTGCATGTAAGATTGAAATATAATTTCACTGAGTGAACACCAGATGCAATATTTTCACGAGTGGCGTAGCCACAAGTGAAAATATAATAGCTGGTGTTCACGAATGAACTATATTTCAATCTTATATGTAAAACAAATAAATTTTCTTTTTATTTCATGCCTTTTAAGTGATTTTAGGTAATTTTTACTGATTTTGCCGGTAACGTCGCGCATTCTCCTTCGTGACGTCATCACATCATGACGTCACATCAACAAGTTTGAAATATAGTTCTGTTAAATTTCTCTAATTTTGTTGATCTGTGTTTATTAATAATTGTAACCAAACTAAGTGACAAACATTCATTTTGAAAAAAAGTTAATTTATCTGTAAAATATTTGTTCTGTTCTGTAACGATATCAAACATCTACTCCAAAACCGGGAGATACCGGACAATAAACGTGTGGTACTATTCGCCGGTCGTCAAAATAGACCAGGAGAAACCGGAATTACCTACAGGAGTACATCCCTCTATAAATAGATTTTCGGAATATTTAGGTCATCAACTCATCATTCTATTTACAGCTTTCGGAATAACATACCATAATAACCCACTGTGTACTACAAAATGATAGATAAAAATATCCCGAAGAGCGCGATTTATTGACGGAAAAGGTTATTTAATTTGAAAATGTTTGCATTGCGAAATTCTCCAGTTCGCTATTCATTGTACATATCGCGACTAGTTAATAATCAAGCACCCTCATACCGATCGGAATGATCGGCTTTTATTATGAACAACTATAAAAGGCTCGAGAAGTTGCTGTCGCCCTTTCACAAAATCTGATTTCATTACATAAAAGGCGTCCGCGCCGAATGGGCCCGTATTCAATATACATCTTAAGATTTTTCTTATCCTTACGCGATATTTTCCTTAACTAAAGATAATATATTTCTTATCCTTAAGTACTACTTATAAAGCTACTTAAGTTATTTCTTAGCTAAAATTTTTCTTAAGGTTAAGAATTTTCTGATTTCGTTTGAGAAAATTCTTAAGTACGTTGCCAGGCTATTCTGGTTTTTCCATCGCTTAAAATAGTAACGGAAATGAGAATTATGCGCGCGCAGCGTCTCATTCAACATGGCGGAGGCAGCAGACGTAAAGAAACGCCGAAACGCCAATTTTTCGGCGAATGACTGCTTATTGCTGGCAAACATTATGGGGCAGTCATCAAACTTAAATAAAACACTGACGAATTACCAGTACGTTCGCCATAAGTTCAACAGCAGTAAGTATTTTGCCAATATTACCATGAAATGTTACATTTGACAGATGGCGGGAGTTGAAGGGAGATAACCAGCTTGTTTTTGGCTTGCAGCCACGGCTGCAAGCCATTTCATATGGAAAACTTGTTCCGGTTAGGTGGTTTTCTGCTTACATTTGTAAGTGCATGATTGAACGGGAAACCAGCTACAATCGTGCCAATCGCAACTTTACGGCCTTTTCCGTCACTCTTCGGATTAATGATAATAGCCGATGTAGTTCCGATTGCAATCGTGACAATTCGGGCGATTCCGTCATACTGCGGAATCAGACGAAGTAATATTACGGAAATCTAAGCTATTTTAGTTACTTCGGTAATCCCAGTTTGTTTATATATAAATAGGATTCGTATTTTTTACTTGATTTATTGATTTAAACTGTAATAAATTATAAACGAAATTGTTCCGTTTCAATTCTTTTTCAAGACGCAAAAGTTAGTTTCTTTTATAATTGTTTTTTGTCTGTATTAGTTTTATACAATAGAGGATGTTGACTGTAGTAGTATTCCGTCTTCAAAGGGTGGTCAAAATCACACAGAATATTAGTGCATGATCGTGTTATATTTAGAACTACTGAACTTGGTGAGGATATCTAAAAATAGCCCATGCATATCATTAACCTTACCACGTGATGATCTATAGATAGCGCATCGTATCTGTGAACATGCTTATAAATTGGTACCACGTTACGAGGTGGAAATGAAATGTGCACACTTGTTTCCTTTTATTTTCTTTATTAGTTTTTATTATTTTCTTTATTAGTTTTATACAATAGATAATATATTTCAAATCGTTTTGACAAAAATATTCGTTTTACAAAAATAAAAACAACTACAGTAAATATGTTGGGATGAAGGCACAACTGTGCAAGCCTTTCCTTTTAAAAGGAAACTTTATTTACAATTCATTCTTCGATCTTGGACTAACGATGTATTTTAAACTCACTGTCTCCGATTATTGTTATGTTGAAATAAACTTTAACACTTAATAATAGAAGAAACATGCTTTTATTGTTGATATAAAGTGACAGTGATTGATCGACAACCAAAACAAAAATATATATCAGGCATTATCTTGGCTGTCAGGGTTTGGTGGTTGTCTGCATTTGGTGGTCCCCAAACAGTACAGAATTATAAACACAGCAAAAACTTATACTTTTATTAACATTTAGTACAATCTAAATGCACTCGTCTGTGGTGAAATTTTCTCTTTTTATGACATTTTGTTTCAAAAACGCAAAAAGTACAATGTGTGGGATAGTAGACCTAGATCTAGCTGTAAGAGATACTATTAAAATAAGGAGGCAGGGTAATAAAATTGGATAAAAATATGATAACTTAAAAAATGTGCATTTATTCATTTGTATGCTTTAATATTGAATCCTTGTATATATTAAAATTCCACAGTGCTAGACTAATATATCCCTTTATACAAAAGATACATGTATGGAGGATGTTTTTTTTCTAGAAACTTAAAGTTTACTGTAATTGTTGATATGAACTTTCAAGTTCCTGTTAACCAACATATACTATTGAAATTTAAATTTGATTCACTTTGTATTTGATTGTCTACCTGGCTGATAGAAACTATATCCACAGTGTTTTCACATTTAAGAGAGACTCTGTATATATGTTGTTATAAAAGTTAGCATGTTAGCATGCTCAAATTTGAATTTTAAAAATATTAATAATTGCTACACAGTCTCTTTGAATGTATAAAATAAAAATGTTTTGACTTCATTTAAAGTAGATATGTTATGTTTTGAACTCGTCACACTATAGGCGGTCATAATATGAATATATATATATATATAT